TTTTTTTAAAGAATTATTTATTTATTTATCCATTCATTTTGTGTGTGTGACCAGCTCAGCCCACCAGGGGGCGGGCTTGCTGGCATGTGGTGCTGGGGGATTGAACAGCGGTCCCTGTGTTTTGCTTAGCTTATCTTGTTCTAAGTAGGTGCTTTAGACCACTGAGCCATCTCACCAGCCCAATTGTCAGTATTTTAAAAAAAAAACCTATATGGCTATCTCCAGTCTCTAATATAAATGGCACTTCTACTGTTATCCTTTGGTGGGGAGCGGTCTAAAACAGTTATGCTATATATATATGTTATATAATTCAGGCTGGCCTTGAATTCACTAGGTATCCCAGGCTGGCCAGAATTCATGATTCGTGACTCTCCTGCTTCAGTTGTCCAAGTGCTAGGATTACAGGTGTGTGCCACCATTACTGGTTTTTACCTTTTTTTAATACATGAGCATATTAATAAAATCCCTTGGAAGAAAAGCTTAAGCTCTCTCTCAGGGAACTGAGGGGGAATTTAGTTAGTTTAGGGATGAATCAAAGCTGAAAGGAGATAATTTTTTTTTCTTTTTTTAAAATTTTGAGACTGGATCATATTATGTACTCCAGGCTGGGCTCGAACTCCCTGCAATCTTTGAAAAAAAGTACATTTTTCTTTTTCTTTTTGTCTTTTATTTTATTTTGTCTTGTATTTGGTACAGGGTCTAATTGTGCAGGTCAGACTCCTTAGTGACCCTCCTATCTCAGCCTCTCCAGTGCTGGGATTACAGGTGTGCACCACCTCACCTGGCCATGGCCACTATTTTTTACTTAAGTAAAAACCCCACAAAACACACAACACCAAAAGGCAACAACAACAAACCCTCCGTGTTGTTTCTAGTTAGCAACAAAATATTATTTCCCCTAGGCAGAGAAAATTTTATATATAAAGATAAATTTACTATCTCTAATTTGAGCCATGAATCAAATATTTGACTTCAAATAGCTTTATATTTTTCCAAGAGCTTTTAAATTGGGAGGGGGAAAGGAAATATTTTTCCTGCAAACACCTTGAAATTTTTCATGTATATATTTACTGAGGGTACTAATGTACACTGCTGGGCTTCTAGCATTGCTACATTTGCTTCCAGTGGAACCCTGTGACCACCAATCTGGCAATGCTGGCTGGCAAGTGTTACTTCATTTGGCCTTGGAGGCTGTAGAGGTCAGAAACTGTTATATTTATACCAGACTATGAGGCAAGTCTGGAAGTGAGCCCACAGAGGAAAGAGAATTGAGTTTTCATGAGTTCTTAATATCCACCCTATCACTTTCATTCCCAACACAGAGCAAACACCTGACTTGATTTCTCAGTTGTCAGGATGGCTTTGTACTTACACAACTGTAACCACAGCAGTCAGGACCCTGATGGTTGATGATGGCCTAGCATACATGCCTGGGCTGTGGGGGAGAGCAGAGTAATGTGCTCAACCTTGGAGTGAAATCATTGGCGCGGGGTCAGAGCACAGAGCTCTCAACAGCCAAGCTCAATGGCTGGGCTCCAAAGGCAGTGACAGCCACTTGACAGAGTAAGCAGCTGATCTGCACCAGGAGGCCAGGGCCGCTGCCCATTCATCTACTTCCATGTCTGTACTCCTCTCCTATCTCATGTCATTTAGCTGGGAGAACAAAGAATCTAACAGAATTTGATGGAATGCCACATGCTAAGCTGCAGATACTAAAACCACTTTTGTTCCTTTTTCTACGATGAAACCAGAATGTGTTCAACTTGACTTAGGAAAGCCCAAAATAGGAAGGGTACTAATTATGGCACCAGCTTCTGTCATTTGTCCTACTGAGAGCAAGCACTGTACACACACAGGGGCCAGCTCAGCTTACCATGGGGTTGGCTTCAGCTGGTTGGCTGGACTGCTTACGCGCCAGCAGCACGGTCAGCACTCCCTTCCAGCCTGGCTCTACAGGGGCACTGGCATCCTGCTCTGGTCCTCCGTTTTCCTTGGCTCCTCTGCCAAGTGCACTGTTCACCCAAGGGCACCAGTCTCTGTGCTGAGAGATGGGATCAAAGAAGCTTCTTGATATGTCCTGAGGGAGGAGGAAGAGACAGTTTCAAGGAAAGGCAAATTGAACTTCAATCCAAGGAGGCACTGATATTGGTCATCATGGCCAGCTTTATGACTATCCACATTCTCCTTTAACTCTTATTTTCCTTTATTCTGTTAGTCTCTTTGTATAAACAAACAATACTTATCAAGCTTGCTTCTCATTTCTGTCCCATTAGCCTGAAATATTCAGCACTTCTTGAAAAATCCATCCCAAAAAAACAAAGGACAACTCTTAAGTTTTTTCCCTTTGGTCACACAAGTGGTCCATCTTGAAATTATTCAATCTACTTCTAGCTGCAGGAGCAGGAGGGCCCATGCCTACTTTTCCATGCCACATGGCTGCAGGTGGCAGTAGACTCACCGAGCTGCCTGAAGAGCAGAGGCGAGCGCGCTTGGCTCTCCGGAGAGGGCTGGAGGGTACTTCTAGGCCAGCAGTGTCCCCTGCACCCATGCTCCGGGTCACGGGGCGGGTTCTGGGAGTGGGGCTGGCTGCCTCCGGCTCAGGCCGTTCTACAGGACTGGAAGAGTCCCAGCTGCGTGTGCGGGAGACAGTGGGAGCTGGGCTTTTTTCAGCCTGAAGGGAAGACAAAAAGAATATATGAATGTTAATGGTTAAGCCAAGGAAGTATTTCTAAGTAGTTTCTGGTCTGTCTACATAACTAAAATCTTGCCAGGAAGGTACTTGTGCCACTGAGCTATATCCCTGGCCCCAATAACTAAAATTTGAAAGAGAATTATACTTCTTTACTGAATGTTTGCAATGAATTTAGCTTCCCCACTGGTGAACAGAAATACAACAGGATAGTCTGATTGATCTATGTGGTCAGAGGTAAAACCTATCTATCTGGGCAATGGGGCACAAACACATGTATAATAATTACTACACTCTGGGGAGGCTGAGGCAGAAGAATTGTAAATTGCAGCCCACCCTGGGCAACTTAGTAACTTAGTGAGACTCTGTCCCAAAATAAAATAATAAAAAAGCGTTGAGGATGTGGCTTAGTGTGAAAATCAAGGGTTCAAACCCCAGTATAGCGTCGCCCCCCCAAAAAAAGGTAAAGGCCACCCACTAGTTTCCAACTTTCCACCCCCACTTCTTTGGTAAGAATGCAGTTAACATGTCTACCCCAAACAAACTAAGTCAAAACCTGCTCTGAGTTTGGGGAAAATGTGGCATCTTGGCTCCTGGTCATTATCCTCCGAGGAGATTCGGGCACTGAAGGGAAGCGCTCTGGCCGACCCTCAGGCCCTGTGATGGGGGAGTTGGTCTGGCCAAAGCAGGACTCCAGGTCGGTCATGGATGACTCCATCTGCTGGAAGCCCCAAAGGCCCACCTTCCTCATACACTGTGAGCACGCTATTAGGGAGAGTTGCATAGGTTCCAGAGCTGAACTAGGAAGGAATGGAAAGGAAAGTAGGTATTTGCAAATAATATCACCATATAACTCAGCATTTTTTTTTTTTTAAGAACTGGGGCTTGAACTCAGGCCCTTGTGCTTGCCAGGCAAGTGCTTATTTTACTGAGCCATCTCTCTGGCCCTCAGCATGATTTTTTTTTTTTTTTTCTTAGCATGATTTGTGAGCATGCTTCATTTCAGCTAGCACTTCTCTGCAGTGGCCCCGTAGACTGAAAGCCATGTTCTCCCACAGCCCTGACCACTGATCTCACCATTTGCCTTAGTCCCACTCATTTCCCATGAAAGGTCTAGGCCATGTTGTGCTCTCCACAGCAACGCTACTTTGAAATATGTTTTAAAAATTTCTTCTGTGACTCTTAAAGCTCTTGTCTTAACCTACTAAGAAAGCATATTTAATGTAAATTGGAATTGGTTCTGACTGTCTTCTGTCATGGGAGGTCTCTAGCGAATTGAGCAGATGGAATGGAAACAGCAACATGGACTAGGGGCAGCTGATGTTTGCTCCAGTAGTTTTTAATCAATTAAACTGACTTTTTTGCCTCTTAACTATAGAAAGGAACTTTATTCTTTTCAGAAATGTAAACTCCAAGGTAGGAAGTTACAATATAAGAAAGTATTAATCCCAAGGATTTCTAAATTCTAATTCTGGTTTTGTTAGTTAATCCAGATTATCTGCCTGCTCCAACTTCTGCCCCTAATTTCTCTTTGTCTCTATCTTCTCCTAGGAAACATGTGATTTCCAAATGCTATTAGTGACAGATGTAAATAGGGTCTAGACTGTTATCATACTTCATCCAGGCAAGATTCTCTCACTAACCTACATGCCCAGCCGCACACAGAGAGAACACAAGCAGTGATGTGGACTTGGATGTCTGAGCCCAGTTTGCTTGCAGCTTTTTTCTCATCAGTTTGGTGATCAAGTTCATCTTCAAGCAGGTTTAGCAGAAGGCTGACCTTGTCTTCTGTCAAACACTACCAAGGAACCAAGGTAAACAACTTGAAATTTCAGCCACCATAAAAAGAAAATTTACATATAATGATGTACCTAGATAGTAAGAAGCGAAAATCAGAAGAAAAATGACAAAACTGGAGATAGCATCCTCACATAAACAAGACTCACTGAGGGCAAGGCTGTGGCGTCCCACAGAGGTGCCCTGAGCCACAGGGTGGCAGTGTTCTTGGCACTATAAGATTTTCTTTAAAAGCACTAAAGTGTTTTCAATTTACCTACTGTTGATTTTCTTTGAATCTTGTGAACTTCAAACCTGAATAATGAAAACATTACTGCTTCTACCTTGGATTGACACTAAATTCACTTTTATAATGAACTCTATAGCTTGCCAGCCTTGAGAGTTTTGTCCTAAGAATAATAAAAGACTATAATAAAGGGGAGAAAATCAGGTTGGCTAAGGATTGAGTGACATAAATAGTTGCCAGAGGCTGACAGTCTATTAAAAAGCCATGCCAGACTGTTAACCTGAAGAAGGAAAATACCAACTGCTATTTTCTACAATAGTTTGTATTCACTAAGTACTCACAGGCTAATGAACTGAGACAGTAAATACTCAATTTCAAAGATGGGCCAAAGCATTTCAATATCTCTATCACAAGAAGGGATTTATAGGTTGGGCACTACAGAACATGCCAGTAATGCCAGCACTCAGGAAGCTGAGGCATGAGGACTGCCACAAGTCTGAGGTCAACCTGGACTACATAGTGAGTTGCAGGCCAGCATGAACTATACAGGGAGACTGTCTCAAAAAACAATTAAACAAACAAAACAACAACAACAAAAAAAGGATTTATAACTGGCCCTCTTGCACTTTTAAAAAACAGTATGCAGGGGTCCAGCGAGATAGCTCAGTGGTCTAAAGGCAAGCTCAGGCAAGGTGCAGAGACCATGGTTCAATTCCAGGTACCACATGCCTTGCCAGCCCTACCCTCAGGCTGGGCTGAACCAGCCACAAAAAAAAAGGTATGCAATAAATCATAGGGAGTCACATTTCAGTATCTTTGGCTAACTAGCTTAACAAATGAAGATAAATTTGAATTTATGCCACTTAATCATATCTAGGGGCTAGGAGATGGCTCAGTGGAATAAGCGCTTCCCTGGCAAGCGCGAGGACCTGAGTTCAATCCCCAGTTCCGCAAAAAAAAAGAATCATATCTATTTAGGCATAGTGGAGCATACTGGCAAGCCCAGCAAACCGGGAAGTTAAGTGGGAGGATCAAGTCCTACTGAGGAACTTAACAGACTTAGTCTGTGGAGGTCCTGGGTTCAATCCCTAGTTGCCTGCCACCCTACTCCTCAGCATGTCTCAGCTGGGCATGGTAGCACACATACCTATAATCTACAATCTCAACTATTTGAGAGGGTAAGGCAGGAGTTCAAGGTTAATTGGAAATTTAGGGAGAATCTATCTCAAAATAAAAGCTAGGGGCTGGGGAGACAGCTCAGTAGAATAAGTGTTTGCCTGGCAAGCGCAAGGTCCTGAGTTCCATCCCCAGTACTGCCAAAAAATAAATAAAGAAAATTAAAATAAAAGCTAAATGCTTTAAGTGAACATATTTTCTGGTAAAAACTGAAAAGGTAAATTGAGAGACAAATAGTTACAACAATCTATCCTTTGTTATTTTTTTTTTTTGCTCCGAATGCCTTCAAGGCATGACTGGCTGGCTTGAGTTGTGGGGACTGAACCACAGCAACCTGAGCCTGACGGCTTTGTTGAAGCAGCCACTTAAAGAACTGAGCTAAGGGGCAGGCCCCCTATCCTTTGTTATTAAAAGGAATCTTTCATGTATAAATGCTAGTAACAATTGGAGGCCACTGTAAGCTAGCAAAGAAAAACTTACCATAGTTTTTAAGTCTTCTGGCCTCAGAGAAGGGAGCTGGAGGTCCAAGTGACAAAGGCTTTCAAATCGATTAAGGAATTCACTCACAAGAACTGCAGGTTCATCCATTGGCAACATCCCAAATCGGTCTGTAGAAGAAGTGGAAGATTATATTGGTGTTAAAAAATAAACAGAGCAATTAGAAAAAAGTAAAATGGATGAGAAACTTGATGACATCAAGAAATTACTAGAGGGCTGGGGATATAGCTTAACTGCACAAATGCCTGCCTGGCAAATGTAAGTTCCCGAGTTCAATTCCTGGTACCAAAAAAAGAAACTACTAGACACAAATGTGGTGGCACATGCCTGTGTTCCCAGCCCTCAGGAAGATGAAGCAAGAGGTTAACTGTTAACCTGGGCTGCACAATGAGTTCAAGGCCAGCTTGGACCACATATGGAAAAAGTACCTCAAAAACGCCAAATAAACAAACAAAAGAAATTATTGGAGCCAAGTACAGTGGGGTATGTGCCTATAGTCTCAGGTAGGCTATGAAAAGAGGCTCACTTGAACCTAGAGTTCAAAAGCTGCCTGCAGAGGGGCTTGAAGGTGTTAAGAACACAGAAGAAACTGGATTGACTGTAAGTAGGGCTAGGGATATAGCTCAGTTACTATCTTGGGCATTACCAGATTCATCTATTGGACATTTGGTACAAGCCCAGCCTAGGCAAATTAGTGAGACCATCTTAAAAATAAAAAAAATTGAAAAGTCTGAGGATGCAGCTCAGTATGAACACCCCAGACTGAATTCCCAACACAACAGCGAATCAAAACACAAAAAGGAAAAGTCTGAAGATGTCTCACCAAATAGAGAATAACAATAAGGAGGAAAAAATTATTAAAAGAACCAAGTAGAGGGGCCTGCGGGTTAGCTCAGTTGTTTAAGCGCCTCCACATGCAAACAGTCAGGTGCAGGGGACCGTGGTTTCATCCCTAGCTCCACATGCCTTACCATACCTGCCCTTAAGGTAGCCTGAGCCAGCCAAAGGGGGAAAAAAAAACCCAATAGAAACTATGGAATTGGAAAGTACTAAAACTGGGATGAAATATTCAGCAGAAGAGTTCAACAGTAGAAATAAGCTGGCAGCAGAAGAATCAGTAAACACTAAGACAGGTGAATTGAGACTATCCTGTTTAAGAAGGAAAAAGAAAAAAGAATGAACCACAGGATAGGTGATGGGGAACAAAGGAAGGAAGAAAAACTAAAAAATTTTCAGCTGAAAACTTCCCAAAATTGATGAAAACCATTAATTTATCTATTTTAAAAAAGAAGAGAAAAAAATGTAAATGTGCTAAGCAGAACTAGATTAGATAGGAACCTATACCAGGAATAAGAGCTACCAAGAACAGGAAGCGTCGTTCAGCCTCTGTGGTGACACAGTTAGGTAAAAAGGCTGCTCTGGTTATAGTTACACACTGTCATGGATAAGGAGGTTTTTGTTTGTTTGTTTGGTTTTTTTTTTTGGCGGAACCAGGGATTGAACTCAGGCCCTTGTGCTTGCCAGGGAAGCGCTTATTCTACTGAGCCATCTCCCCGGCCCGACAAGGAGGGTTTGACAGTGTATTATACAATGAGACTAACCAAATTTCTCAGATGGGTGCTATCATTCAGTGGGAGAGGGCATGTCATGCATGAGACACTGAGTGTGATCCCAGTATCAAAACCACCACCCCTACCAAACAAACAAAAAAAAAAACCCTACTAGCTTTACTAAGAAGAGGCTAACTGGGAAAACTATCACATGAGAGATTATAATTTTACATCAATCTAGTAATTGCAAAGCTTCAAACACACTATTACATGTAACAACATGGACATATTTTTAAGAAGTACACACATATGGTCAACACTTACACAGAATTTTGGAACAAGTAAATTTTTGAGACACGGACTTGTCATATAGTCCAGGCTTGCCTTGAACTCACAGTAATCCTCTTGCCTCAGCCTCCCAAGGGGTAGGATTATAGGTGTGCTATATGTATTACTTAAAGACACATTTTGTAAATGTTACTTTAAGATACAGTGGCAGGGAATGAGATTAGAGAAATTATATGACTGTTAAAATTCATCATCTTTAAAAAAAAATGTTATTGGGGTGTTATTGGGGTTCTATCTAGCGATAGAACCCAAGGCCTTCACACTGAGATACATCACCAGCCCATTTTATCTTGAGACAGGGGGTTCCTAAATCACTAAGTTGCTCAGGCTGGGTTTAAACTTCAGTCTTCCTGCCTCAGCTTCAAAGAATGCTGGAATTTCAGATGTGTGCACCATGTTTTATGTAACTTTTTAAGACAGGGTTTCATTATGCTATTCAGACTCACCTTGAACATACTATATAGCCCAGGCTAGCCTCTAACTTGAGATGAACCTCCTACCTGAGCCTCCCAAGTGCTCAGATTACAGACATGTGCTTGGCAATATAGCTCTTCTTGACTAGTAGAAAGAAAGCAAGGTGGCATGCTTTGAACCAAAGATGGTAAAATGCTGGTACATATTAAGTGGTCTTGGGGTGCTATATACCCCAAGTTTTCTGCATTTGAAAACTTTCAAAATTTAATAAGTTGCTTAAAAAATTAAAAATAGGGTATGGCATGTTGGCTCACACATGTAATCCTAGCACTTGGGAGGTTGAGGCATGAAGATCACCATGAGTTCAAGGCCAACCTGAATTACAGTGAGACCTTGCCTCAAAAAACAAAAAACAAAAAAACACAACTCCCCCCACTGATAGAACATTTATTTTCTTTTTTTTTTTAATTTTTTTTATTTATTTATTTGTGTGTGTGTGTGTGTGTGTGTGGCCCTCAGCCCACCAGGGGGCGGGGCTGGCTGGCATGTGGTGCTGGGGGATTGAACCCCAGTCCCTGTGCTTTGCTAAGCTTGTTCTAAGTAGGTGCTTTAGACCACTGAGCCATCTCACCAGCCCCCAGAACATTTATTTTCCATTAGGTAATATAAGTAATCTAGAAATAAAGTATATAGCAGAATATATACAGGTTCTGTGCAAATGCCATGCCATTTTACAGAAAGGACTCAAGAATTTACACATTTTGGTATCCAAGGGGATCTTGGAACCAATCTCTCATAGGTACCAAGGAACAACTGTGTTACAGTTTGTATCTAGTTGTTCCCCCAAAGCCTCATGTAGGTTTTGGGGCAGACACAGCTGGAGGAGCAACGAGTGGCTTGAGGGGCAGGGCCAGAGGACCAAAGTGGAGCCCAAGGGGCAGGGTCAGTGAGGTGAGAACTATTAAAACTGGCTAGCCCATGCTTTCTCAGAGATGGTGAAGAGGATCCTCCTGGACATGGCAGCGCCCCAGCCTCTCCTCAAACCCTGTAGAGTGGGGGCAGAGTCTTGAAACCTCCAGTAACTATGAGCTAAATAAACCTTTCCTTCCCTCATTTTGTGTGTTGGGTATTTGTCCCAGCAACAAGAGAAGAGTAACTAATACAAACTGTAACCTTATAAAGCAGACTCTTGACTTACAAACTCAATTTTTTCCCAAGTGCTAATTAACTCAAGCTGTCAACCTGAAGGCTCTGGCTCCTCTACACAACCTTCAAAGTCTCACTCCTATATACAAGCAGATCTCAGTGTACTTAGAAAGATATTGACCCTGGATTTCTCAATTAACCCCATATAGCAAAGGATGTTGTAATATTCCTTCTAGAACCCTTTAAAAGTTAAATCTATATCTAAGACCACCTGGAAGCACAAGTAGTCCAGCATTCGGGTCATAACTCGACTCTGGTTATAAATTAAAACTAAAATTTCAGTCAAAACTCAGGCTATATTTTATGCCAGTTGCAACCTGAGGCTCCACTGTACATCAAAATACATGCCATCAGCTGGGAATTGTGATTCACACCTGGAATCTCAGCTTGAGGAGGCTGAGGCAGGAGGATCATGTGAGTTTGAGACTAGCCCAGGCTATACAGTGAGCTAAAGGCCAGTCTGAACTACATAGTGAGACCCTGTCTCAAAAAAGAAAACAAAACAAAAACTACAAAAAACAAAACCCCCCAAAACAAACAAACAAACAAACAAAAAACAAATTCCAGGCTTGGGGTATAGCACCTGCCTGGCAAGTACAAGGTCCCGAGTTTGATTCCTGGTGCCAACCAACCAACCAACCAACCAATAAAAACCCATGCCATCAACACAAAGATATATCATTTAGGGGGCAGGGGAAATAGCTCAATTGAATAAGCACTTGCCTGGCAAGCGCAAGGGCCTGAGTTCAATCCCCGGCTTGGGGGAGGGGGGCTATATCATTTTACCAAAAACATCAGGTTATAGGGCTGCGGATATAGTGTACTTGTCTAGCATGCATATGAGGCCCTGGGTTCAATTCCTAGCACCACAGAAACATTGGAAAAAACTAAAAGTAGGGCTGGGCACTTTCCTATTATTCATGTAGCTCTGGGATTGATGTTGAGCACAACAACAACAACAAAAAATAAAATATCAAGGGGAATACAAAGGTAACATATTCTGATGACAGTAGCCCAGATTTGGCAAAACTTGGGAGAATACATCAGGTTCCAAGACTTCCAGTCATCTTCTAATTTAGGGTTTGGTCTAATTATCATATTTACTTATTTTTGGTAATCTTTTTATTTATTTGGTACAGGGTCTCGTCATGCAGCTTAGACTTGTAGTAATCCTCCTGTCTTAGACTCTTTGGTGGTAAGATTACAGGCATGCACTACCGTGTCTGGTTTTGATAGCTAGTTTAGTGTGCCTGGGGTTCCAAGGCCAGCATGGCATGCGGTACCAGGGATTGAACCCAGGTTCTTGTTCTTGCCAGGCAGGCGCCTATCCCACCAAGCTATCAACCCAGCCCCTGATTGTTACAATACCAAGAAAATAATTGTAAAATCCCATGAAGATAAAAAAGGAAATGGAGAAGAAATTAAAGTCATCTGCTGCTCCTCCCTTTTTGCTCTTGTTGTTTTGCTGTTTTCCATTGCTATGAACTGTTGCCCTTTGCCATGTGCCACTCTTCCTTGGAGCCAGCTGAGTATGGACTGAAACCTCCACAAACTATGAACTAAATAAACCTTTCCTTTCCTAAAAACAAAAAATAAAGTCATCATAAAAAATGTCTTAACATAAGCTTAAGCATATTTCATTATATACTTATATATTTGTGTACAGTTTAAAACATTTGGCATACACAGTCAGCCCTAATAAGTTAATAACTATCACTTAAAATATTTTAAGGGAATTTGTAAGTACTGGTAAATACCACCTTCAAAATAGCATTTACTAGGAATGCTTAATAAATACAGGCATTGAAGTACAAATAGTTGTGGGCGTTCTTTTTTCTACATAAAAGCCTCTTGAATGTTAAAGCAGCAAACAAAGGGATGGTACAATTAAAGGTCAAATCTGAGATCTATTTAGGAGGAAGAATGGTAGGACAATAGGAAATTGGGTATCCAAAGTGACTTTTAGATCTCTAGTTAGGAAAACTAGATGGTGAGGTCAATGACATTTATCAACATGGGCAAAATTTTAGGTACAAGATGCAGACTTCTGCTTTGCATATGCGGAAATACAGGTATGTATATTATATGGAAATTTTTTTTGAGACTGGGTCTTGCTATATAGTTTAGGGTGGCCTTGAGCTCACAGCATTTCTCCTGCCTCAGCATCTGAATGCTGGGATTACAGGTGTGTGCCACCATGCCCGGCTACATGGGTACATTTAGAGGGTAGCTGGAAGATGAGTAAAGTTAAAAGGACTTTAGGTAGGACTTAGAGGCCCCCAAGGTAGATGAAGTTATGAATAAGATCAGAAAAGCAGAGCTCAGAGTAATAAGTACTGGGATAAAAAAGATAAAAAACAAAAGAAAAAAATCACAGTTGATACTACATTTTGGACTGTTATTTCAAAGTACTCTATGAATACATCAGTGGTTCCTGATTCCAGAATATCATGTCATGCTATGGCTATTAAAAGAGCCTGAGTAGACCCTAAAAACTTGGACTGAAGTGGGGATGAATGCAAATCCTTAGAGGACAGAGTTATATTATACCATACATTGAAAGACCTAGAAGTTGAGGAGATAGCTCAGTGGTCTAAGCCCCTGCCTGGCAAGTGCAAGGACACAATTTGATGCCCTATATGGCGGCCCTGAGACCCTAGGCGTGCCCTGCTGGCCACCTAAACCAAGTGGTGGTGCACGCCTGTAACCTCAATGCTGGAGAGGCTGAGATAGGAGGATCACTATGAGTCTGAGCTGTATAACAAGACCCTGTATCAAATAAACAAATAAATGATTAAAAAAAATTAAAGAAAAAAAAAGACAGACAGACTGACAGACCTAGGCCTAGAGCTGGAAATCCTTGTTATACATCAACCCTCATTTTAACAATTGTATCAGAAGTAGATAGTAATCTATTTTTTCTTCTTGGTAGTCATTCATGGAATATTCTTAGCCACCAGTCATCTTGCATTTGGCCAGAACTGCTCTACTGAAATAAAAAATATACCTACACTGTACTTGTCTTTGAAAAATGTATGACATACATAGATGGATAGTGTTGCTTGGGTGTGAGGAATTAACTGGTCTTGGCAAGATTTCTCCACCAGAGGGCTCTACTGTTGAAGCTGTTTTCTTAGCAATATTCCTGCTAACCAACAAAATATGGTAACCAGTTTTGTTAACTAAATATTGTAACCAGTCTTGTTGTAACCAACAAAATATTTAAACATCCAGCTGATGGTCAGGTAGTGCTGCATATCTGAGAACCCAGACCTTGGGAGGCTGAGGCAGGAGGATCACTGAGTTCAAAGCCAGCCTGAACTATATAGTGAAACTCTGTCTCAAAAAGATAAAAACAAAAGAAAAAAATCCCAGCTGACACTACATTTTGGACTATTATTTCAAAATGCTCTATGCATACATCAGTGGTTCCTGATTCCAGAACATCATGTCCTGCTATGGCCTTTACACAAGGAAGGTGGAGAAGCTTAGACCTGCCCACTATAGTCCCCCTGCTGAGGGGCCTGGGAAAACATCCTTACCTCAGTGCAGCTGATACAGTGCAGTTTTAGTGTAGTAACTGCAGCTTTGTAACACTCTTATTGAAGTCCTGTTAGGCTTTTTTTTTTTTTTTTTTTTTTTACAGAATTGGGGGATTGAACTCAGGCCGTCCCACTTGCCAGGCAACCACTTACTCTACTGAGCTATCTTCCCAGCCCCCTTGTTAGCCTTCTATAGTAAACAAACCTCTTTTAGCTGCCACCATTAGTGAAGTTAGCACACCCTCTGGAGGAAGCCCCGGTGGAACAAGGAGTTGCTCAGTATGGTGGGGAAAAACAGCAGACAGCTTGGAATCAGAGAAAACCATAGCTATAGCTTCTCTCTAGTTCATTGTAGGACTTGTGATTCTTCACCACCTCAAGAAAAGACTGAGTTGGTAACATTTACCTCCTAGGGTCCTTGTGATGATTAAATCAGATAAGGAATACATGGTTAAGTATACCTTACTTAATAATACCTTTATTACTGGCATGACAAATGCACTTAATAAAGTAATAACATCAGTGAATGTAAGTTCTTGAAAAACACAAATAAAAGAAAGAAAACTTTAAAGACTAGGTTCTCACAAAGAAACAGACAACATTAGAGCCAGGTGTCATCGTGGATATCTGCAATCCCAGCACTCAAACAGCCGAGGCAGGACTATCATAAACTCATGGTCAGCCTGGGCTACACAGTGAAACCCTGTATAGGAAGAAAGACAGACAGACAGACAGACAGACCGACCGACTGACCGACCAAACAAATGAACAAACGAACTGGACAATATTAGAGATGCAATGACCCAGGAAAGATGATAGATGAAAATTCTTGGAAGTAAATACCTGGACAGGGGCTGTCTGGCCAAAAACAGAACTTCTCGTGAGCAGTGCATAAGGATTTCTTCAGCTCATCACAACGTTCTTTATCTGAAATCCACACAGGCAGCAATGCTTTAAAAATACACTATATAGGGCTGGGGAGATGGCTCAGTGGTCTAAAGCACCTACTTGGAACAAGCTTGACAAAGTATAGGGACAGCGGTTCAATCCCCCAGCACCACATGCCAG